AGCACGATACCATTCTATTAGAGAAGATTTTACGATATATCCAGTAGAATCTAAAATTACCTCGATTACATCTAAACTAACACTTCTCATTTATATGACGAATTATCTCTATATATATATATATATTCAAGCTTTATTTCTTGTGTGAAATATATGCTCGAATTTTCTTATAATATGAAAACAAAATTCAATGTGTATCATCATTTCAATAAAATGCTGTTAAACCTTTAGAACTCTCTCACTCATTTATCTATTCATGTACATATTCCTAATCATATTCCCAAATTACAGAATTTCATAAATTTGTAGTACATATAAAGTCTTGAAATATTGGAAAATTGGAAAATATGAATATAAAGACAAGTTACTAATTATTGAACCAAACTCTTTCTCTTTCTTGAACTTTATACTCCAAATTCGTTACATAAGTATAGATATCTTATTTGTCCCTCAAATTCCCGATATCGAAACAGAACTGAATAAGCCAAACCACAGAAACTTATCTTGGAATCCACAGGAAGCTTAATGAATTCAATCGTCACGGTCGTTGAAATAATCCGGCAGGGACTTCTACTGGAAAAGTTATGCACAGAAACAGAAAAGTCGCGATGCACTTACCATGAACAATCGTTCCTGAAATCTGGTTTAACAGCGTCAACAATATGCGAAGCATGTGGTCAAGCTCTTTTTGATGGAATGGGTTCAACAAATCAAGTTTAGCCCAGAGCACATCACCGTGCTTGAGCATGCTCCTACAAAACCCATACTCATGTGTGGCGCAGACTGTTTCAAGGCACGTGATAGCTTCCGAGATTGCAGCTCTATCGCAACCCTATTTAGGTCCTCAACCCGTAACCCTTCACCGCGACAGTCAGGCCACCGTCCTGCCTTCAAATAGTAGTTCTCTGGCAAGCTTTGCGTCTCCACGGGCATCCCGTTAGTTCAGGGTTTACGTCGCAGGGTGGGCGTAACAACAGGGATAATGATGTCAACGGCGTTTAAGGCGATGGTTGGGATGGGGCTCAATGCAATTCCTGCACCGAACGATAATCTGTGTAGATCGTGGAAGGTAAAGTATATCCCTAAACTCTCAACCGTAAACCCTCAAGCCCTAAACCCTATAGCACAGCTTTACTGATGAAGGGTGACAATGGGCAGAATACTTGGCTAAAAGTGGGGTTATACGTCCCCTCATATAGGTTGTAAGTATAGTTACCCTACTTATAACCCTACATACTTATAGCTACCCATGAACCTCCAAGTATGACCAAGGCATGAGCCCTTTATAAAGCTTCCATCACACTGCACGGTGGTGAGTTTAAAACTCCGAGGGCTTAGGGTTTAGGGGTTTGGGGGTTTAGGGTTTCGGGGTTCAGGGTTTAGGGCTTTAGGTGTTTAGGGCTTTGAGATGCAGCATGGTTTGTAAACATACCAAATCCACAAGACATTGCCTGGCAAAACCCGTTCGCCTTCATCCTACAATTTGCCTGAAATTGGGCCTTTTATGAAGCAGCATCCCTACACCCTCAAATCAAACACCCCTCTAGTAACGAACAAAGCTTCCCGCAAACCCACCTGAACCACCTCCACCTTGTAAACCCTACTTGGAGCGTCGGGGGACTTACTAAGTATACTAAGTAGTTATTCTATAGAGAAAAAAGCACCATAACCCATACTAGGATCCCTTTTTGGAGTACTTATAACTCTACTTGCAACCTACTTACTCAGTCCCATACCTCCCTCGCGGATCCCCTTAAAGATCCCATTAAGGAGCCTTTCAAGGATCTCTTTAAGGACGGAGCCTTACTAAGCCCCCCGACCCTGAAAGTACTTTGAATTTGCAGCTCCGACAGACCCTCAAGCAAACAAGATCCCCTGATCTTCCTTACTTAGAGGATCATGCGACTTAGTAACTGGGGTTGTAAATAAGGTAACCATACTCATAAGTACTTATAACCCCAATTAAGGTATTTATATCCTTACTTACTAAGTTCCATGATCCTCCAAGTATCCTCCTCCTGCTGACTGTCTCCGCAATTTAGGGTTTTAGGGTTTAGGGTTTTCTGCCGCCTTCCTCAATTCATACTGCAGCAGAGGGAGTGCACGTGTGCGTGTGCTGTGTGTGCACGCTCTGTATGAGCCTGCCTGCACTAAAAACATGCGGCTCTGCTTGAGCCTTCTTTCTCTTTCTCTTTTCCTTCTCTGTCTTCTCTTACTCTTTCTCTTGCTGTTTTCCAAGCAGCCAAATATGACTGTAGCGAGATTATCTCAGATACCGGATAGCCTTAATTATCATGGATGCTGTTCACGATCCCTGCCCGAAAACCTAAACGCTAAAACTAGAGGATGAAGGGATGCCTACAGCGCCGCGCCAGAGCTCAGACGTCCTCTTGCGGCTCGTGCCTCTCAAATCTATCAAACACTTGGGAGCTTCCGGAAATTAGGGGGTACCTTGTTTAAGGATCATATTATTTAGGGTACTTTTCTAGGGTGCCCTGTTTTCGGAAACTCCCATTGGGGTTTCGGGTTCCTTCTATATGAGGGATTGTGTAAAGGCTGGTTCAAGGGAAAAGTTTCCTGTAGGGTATGGGATGTGTCTCAACCCTAAACCCCTATATACATCCTCAAGAATGAAATAAACAGAAATCCTGGGTCTCTGTCCCCAAGTACCCATGCAGTCCTGCATATCGGCAGCAGTCACCCTGTTCATCATAGTTATTTTTTGTCGAGCTGACTTGGAATTCCGTTTCATGAATCAAGGGATCGAGGCCTAGGCGTTTTCGGAAGGAGGTCTGAATGAAACCTTCGAGGCGGGTTGGATCTGGATCAGTCCTTCACTTCGCCTTCACAGCTCGCCCTGGCACCTGAACCACTCAACCCTAAAACCCGCAACGCCCACCCCCAAACGACAGCTCCGTCGGATGCCGCCGAGGATTCCCCTAAACCCTAAAGGCCCCAAAGCAAAAACCCTATATAAATGGTCGAGGATGCTTTGTGCGCCACTTGTTGTTCCAGGAACCAGAGTTCCACTGCGGCCAGTCGCCATCTTCTTCCTGGGCTGCTCTTGGAGGCCTTTTGGGTTCAGGGGTTAGAGTTCCTTGAGAGTTCAGGGTTTAGGGTTTCATCTTCTTCCTGGGCTGTTCTTGGAGGCCTTTTGGGTTCAGGGTTTAGAGCGCAGGCTTTAAGGATGATAACTGCAATCCTGCATGAGAAACGGTTGTGTGCTGTCGATAATATACAGTAGAAGCCTCAAAGTTGGAAACCCAATAGCCTGAATCCATAAGAGTAATGTATAGGGAATCCCAGCACTATTTGAAATTGGCCTTAATCCGGTTTCCAACTTTATGGAGTTTACTGTAATCAGTGAGAGTCGCAGGTTTGTCACCTCCAGCAGCTGCCAATTACTGAGCTTAGAAGGTTGGTACATTGCGCGATGTTAAACTCCAAAGACAAAATTCATACACATCCCGCTGCCCTAGAACCTTAACCTATCTCACCTCAAAGGGTAAAAGGAAGGACCCTAAACAAGGACCCCTAGGTATATACCCTTAATATAGCCATTTTATACCCATTATATAGCCCGTTATAGGGTAAGGGTGCCCATTAAGGGTCCCTCCTTTTGCCCTTTGAGCACCCAGCCTGCCCTGAACCCGAAATCCTAAACTCATAGGGATCCTTAGGGGTGTAGGGGGGAGGGGTGTAGGGGACTATATTTCCTTAAATAGGCCTTATTAGTCCTTATTATGGGTCTTAAGGCCCCCTACCCCCCCTCCCCCTACACCCCTAAGGATCCCTATGATAAACCCTGAATCTCAAACCATTGTATAACCGAACCACGCTACTAAAACCTGACCTGTGAAATGCTAGAAAGCTCTGGGGATCCCTGTAAGGCCTTAGATGGCCCCGTGAAACCCATCAACACAACCATAAAACCTAACCTCAGAAAACCCTGTGAAGCCTGCAGACACGGGTAAAACTTCATGAATCCTTGTGAAGAAACCTGCAAAATGCAGCAAGACACGATAAAGCCCTGCAAAACACCTCTCAGAGGCTCATACACCCACCAAGAAACACAGAAACCCCTAATCCCGAAATCATAAACTCCCAATCCCATCATCCTACATCCTAAAATCTGAACAAAACCTCATCAGACACCGTGAAACCATGTAGATGCCCTGCCAAAAGCCTCATAGAACCCTATGACCGCCCTTACTTCCCTATACTATGACCAATAAAACCGTACAAAGCCCTATCAAAGAACTAAACCCGGACCCTACACCCTAAATCCCTAAAATCTACACACTCACGCATACTGAATTCTGAACCCTGCCCCGTAAATCCTAAACCCTTGATCAACTATAGATCCTAACCCTAAGGGTCCAAGCAGTCTTTATTTATGGTCGTTGGTACCCCAAAAAGCCCTAAAGTCCAATAATAGGAATAATAGGGAGTACTTGGGCCCCCTGGGTAAAGTAGCCTAAACCCCTGTAGATCCCTTATAGATCCCTTTAAGGAGCGCTTTAAGGAGCCTAAGCCTTTCTGAGCAGCTCAGCGTCAGTCTTTGCCCAGGTACCCGACCACGAGGCATCCTGCCGCAACGCATCTTTTTTTCCTACATTGTCTATATATACAAGATATTCTAATATAGTCAATATATGTATATCCATATACATATATATATATATATATACATAGATACCTCTCTATGGAAGTAAAAGAAGTTCAGGCTTTAGGCTTTAGAGAGCAAGGGCTTCTGCGACCGTCTTTTTTTGTATTTTACCGGATCTTTGAGGTGTTGGTGGTTGGGTGTAGGCCTTCTTCTGGTTTTCTATACTTGGAGGGTCGGGGGACTTAGTAAGTAGGCAATAAGTAGAGTTATAAGTACCCTAAAAGGGACCCTAATTGGGGTTATGGTACTTATAACTCTCTAAAATAACTACTTAGTAAGTCCCCCCGACCCTCCAAGTATAGGGTACCATGGAGATTCATCGGGTGTACAGAAGGTCTGTGTTGAGTTTAGTAGAGGGGACTGCAGACGGTAGCGTTTCCTGACATTTTCAATGTTTCAGCCTAGGACCGATGATTCAGATTTCAGGATTCAGGGTTTAGGATTTGGGAGTTTCCGAAAATAGGGGACCCTAATATACTACCCGAAATAGTAGGATCCTTATTATAGGTAGACCTAATTTTCGGAAACTCCCATTTGGGCCCTCAACCAAGATCTATTGGAGCCTCCAAAACAACGTCCCGGGGCCTTGGGCCAAGTACTCAAAGGCAAGCTCAACCCCAGATGCGGCTTTATGTACAGAGTCTCCTGGTGTTTAGGTATTTGGGATTAGAGTTCAGTGTTCAGGGCTTGAGGAACAAACGTATATCTAAGAACAGCGACAGAAAGGATGATACTGCCCCAAAGTGTATCCTCAGCCCTGACTCCTAAACCCCTATTCCCGTAAACCCGGAACCTAAACCCAAACTGACTAGCTCCTAAACTCCATAAACCCTAAATCCCTGAACCCGAAACCCAAACTAGCTCCTCAACCCTGAACCCGAACCTCATCCTAAACCCCAAACCCTGAACCCTAAAACCAAACTACTGTTGATGATACAAATCCTGCATTACCCATAATAAGGAATATACCATCATTCCCCAAGTTTAGGGTCCTTAAGGTAATGCAGGATTTATATCATCAACCATAGCTCCTGCTCTTTCTTCGTTGCAGATGCCGGCCATGTCTCATCCTCGGGCTCCTTCTTCGTGGCGCCTGGCTGTCCCAAAAACTTGAGCTGAGCGGTTAGGGTTTAGGGTTTAGGGTTTACGGTTAGGGTTTAGGGTTTAGTTTACTTAAGGCTTAGGGTTTTCAGGGTTCGGGTGAGGGTTTCAGTAATGACATTCATGAAAAAGACAATGCACATGCGGATAAAACATATCAATACGTGAGCTATTCGTAGCCCTTGTAGATCCTCGCAAGAGGGGTGCCAAGAGACTTCAATATCCCTTAGTTAAGGAATATACCGTAAATCATATTAAGGATCCTACTGAAATTTAAGGTATATTCCTTAATTAAGGGATATTGGAGTCTCGGCGTACCAGAGGGTTTGGGTGTAGGTTGAAATGAAAGATAGGCTGTCGGGTTTCCGAGCTTAACCGGCTCTGGCTCTACGCCAGGACTACTGGGGCATGGCGTTTGCGGATGGAACCCAGAAGAGCAAGGTTTCTTATGCTGGTACACCAACAGTGACATGCATTGTGAACTTCGAAAAAGCCCTTACCCCACACCACAAGAACTGCAGTATACGTGTTCCTTAACTGATTAAGGACACGGTTCCTAAAAGTGGACCTAACAAGGGACATGAGATGATCCCTGCGCAGATTCCTATGCCTCTCCAAGATAAGCCACTATCCCCCTAAATCCGGAACCCAAAGACCCGAAACCCTAAAAAACCCCAAAGCCAAAAAACCCTAGACTCTTAAACCCTAAAACCTAAATCGCTAGTCTTCCGATTTTTTGCTGGACTTGAGACTATCGGGCCGGGCGGCTTGGGATTTAGGTGTCTGTAGGATTAAGGGTGTAGGAATTAGATAGGGAAGGGATTAAGGGTTTAGGGATCTGGGGGTTTAGGATGGTCTAGGGTTTAGGAGTTTTTGGGTGGTTGTCAAAATTATGGTCCCTTTTTGGGTAGGTGCCGTATTAGAATAAGGACCCAAAAAGGGACCGTAATATTGACAACCACCCATATAGGGAAGGGATTCGGGATTTAAGGGTTTAGGGATTTGTGGGTTTGGGATGGTCTAGGGTTTCGGTTTGAGGATAAGGGGTGTTAGGGCTGGGAGAGGGTGCTCGTGCCCAAGTCGCGGTGGAGAGAGAACTTTGCCAAGCCAAGGCTTGGGAGTCTCAACCGAGCCTCGAACTTCAAGCCTCTGATCTTAAACAACGCGGCAGCAAAAGAGAAAAACGAACCACACATGCCTCATGAGGGGCCTGGTTGATCTTTGAACCGCCGGGCCCTCCTTTGTCAAGCTACGCCACGCTTCATTACTAACCTGAAAAGCCTTAACCCCTAATTAGACCCTAAACCCCTAAACCCTAAACCCTAAACAAACCCCAAACCGTGGCTTACAACGCAAACGAGACCTCTGAGCACTACAAACCATAGAGACGCTAATCCCGTGCCTTCCTCTTCATCGGTGATGTTGCCTTCGTCGCCTTTACCGCTGCTCCAGTCGTCTTAGTACCAGGGATCAGTGGGTTTAGGGTTTAGAATCCGAATCGTCCAAGTTGCCGCTGGAGGATCTGGGTGGGGAGTATGGCACACTAGGACAAACTACCCTGCATACCCATAGTGACTCAAAGTCATATATGCATGGGTATAAAGATATACACGCATATGTGTTTCAATACATACATATGCAGATATTTACATATACACATACATGCAAGAAGACAGACAGACGGACAGACAAACATAATACAGACAGCTAGAATCAGTTACAAGAACAAACCCAAGGGCAAACGTAGAGACAGCCAGCCGGGCAGGCAGGCACACAGATACACGGACACACAACCAAACATCCACAGGCATATGCGCAGATACACCATACTTACACATGCGCATGCACATACACACACATGCATACATAGGTACAGGTACATGCATACCCATACACACAAACACACATACACCCTTACACACATGCACACATACAGATACCCATTCACATACAGATACACATACGTACAAACAAGCACATACATGCATCAGTCCACACATATATGTATATCTATATACACATGCATAAGCACATTCATATACCTAACACAGATGAAGATGTAGATACAAATAGGGACATGGATATAGATTAGATACAGCTCAAGCTATCGATATAGATGTGAGCATAGGTGGATGTACATAAATATATACATATATATATATATAGAGAGAGATATATATAGATAGATAGATACAGATATAGATATAGCTACAGGTTTAGATGCATAGATGCAGACATAGATATGTATATGGATCTAGATCTAGATGTAGATACAGATTTTCAGATCATACCCGCAATGTACAGTCTGTACTGATGTTCTCTGCAGTCCACTCAAACCAGAATTGTTCAAGACAAAACATGAAAGCGAAGCTAGTGTGCCGTCAAGTCCAATCCAATGAACTTACTTGTAGTGCCCGACACCTGCACCATGCTCCAAAGTTGTTATCAGGTGGACCTTCAATGCGACACACGTGAGCTCTAGACCCCAACCCCTCAGCCCCAAATCCCAACTTCAAGCTCTGCCGTCGAATGTCACTTCTTGTGCCACCACGGTCCACCACCGCCGGAGTCGTGGCGGCCACGTCGAGAATCCGAAGCACCGCCAAAGCGTCCCCCCTTTCCTACAAGCGAGGAGGGACTGGTTTCAGGGCAGTTTACGCACGGATTTAGGAGTGAAGGGACTCCGGGGTTTGAGAGGGTCCAGAGCTCAAGGGAATTGGGTGCAGGGCTGTCGGCGTTTTAGCTTCCCTGGGGCGGAAGCCGTCGTCTTGGCATGAAACATGCACGGTTCTTGCAAAGTAAGCGAAACATTTGCAAAACCGCAACCCTGAACACACCGTTGAACAGCTCAACTCTAAATGCCAATCTGTGTGTGTGTGTGTGTGTGTGTGTTTGACGTGCTTGGAATGGGCGGTGAACATGAGAGTCATTAGAGGCTACAGTAGGTAGGTGTTGTTATCTGAGCAGCTGTAGCCTCAGGGTTTCGGCTTTCCCTGAACCCTGCATCTTCGAAAACCCTAAACCCCTAAACCCTAAACCCTAGAAAACTACGGCTCAGGCAGCCAAAGGATTCGGAGGAGCAGCTGTAAAACCCTTGCCGGTCGTCCCACACAACAAACCCCGAACCATAAACCGTGAACCCTCGACATTAAAACACAAAACCCCGAGACCCTAATCCTTTTTGCAAAAAAAACTCCAAGCCACCTGAAGCCTCCAAGCTGTCGAAGGATCATGGTCAGGGTTTGTGATTTGAGGCTCAGAGACTAGGGTCTCCGGCCAAGAATGTGAATTGCGATCGCTGTAACGATCAGGATTATGTTTACGATGGATATGCTCACATAGAATAGAAGCAAGCATGCTACTACATGAACTAGGATGACGAAATTTAAATGGCTCCTGTTGCCCTTGTTGGTTTCGTCGTTAGTACTGCTGACTACTATCTTCGAGTTCGAAGAACGTGCAAAACACAAAGCCTGTGTAAACCCTCAAGACACACTTAAGGAAAGCCTCAAAGAGAACCCTAAACTCTAAACCCTGTTCTATACTTTGGATCTCATCACCCTAAACCCTAAATCCTAAACCCTAAACCCTATACTGTGGTTGTCATCACTGTAAAGAGGATGGGCGTCCTTGGTTGCGGCTCGGATGGACCCGGATCACGACTCGTCCTTGACCATCCTGGTACGTTTCGCAAGGCACAGCAACCGGGTTGAAGGTTTACCTTGGGCCTTTATTGGGGTTCCTTTATAGGGGTCTATAAGGGTTACTATAAGGGATCTATAAGGGTACGATAATAATGTAGGAAGCTGATTCAGAAACCTTGGGCCTTTATTCGGGTTCCTTATATGAATCCTACAATTTTGGGGTTACGGTTATGGGCCCAGGGTTTCTTAATCAGGTTCCTACATTAGACTGTTTTGGGCCTGCAGGGCTTAGGGCTTTTTCGAGTTCGAGGTTGAGGGCTTTGGGGGTTTGGGGTTTAGGTTTGGAATCAAGACTTTGGGTGTCAGGATGGCTCAGAGTCAAGATGGCCTTGGCCTGAAGCGCAAGCCCAACAGGAAATTTCGCAATCCCCTTTGTAAGGGGTGGACTGCAGGCTTGAAAGTCCTGAAGCCACCCTAAACTCCTGAACCTTAAACCTCTACATCCCAAACCCCATAAACCCTCAACCCCTAAAGCCTAAGCCCATGGGGGTGTCGTAAGGGTCATTGACCTTTGAGGGCTGGGAGGCCTGCAGGTTTTAGGGCGCACAGCTCACGCTTTCGGAGTTTTGGGAGTTTAGGGTTCTATAAGGATCTACAACCCCAAAACCCTAAAACCTTAAGCCGCAAACCCTCAAACTAAGACTCTGAAGCCCTGATTCTGCAGGGATTCACGCTAAACTCAAACTAAAGCCCTGATTCTTTTGTTGGACTTGTCGGACTTGGGGGGATTCACGCTCAATGTGCACCTTGGGGTTCAGGCCTTCTGACTCCAAGGATTCCAGTAAGTACAAACAAGCCATAAAGTTTCCCAATAAAGGTCTAGGATTTAGAGTTCCTGTTAGAGGGATTCATAAGGGTACTATAAGGGATCTATAGGGTTTAGGGTTATGATATAGAAATCCTGCATTATCTTACGGTTTAAGGACCCTAAACTATGGGAATTATGGTATATTCCTTCTTATGGGTAATGCAGGATTTATATCATCAACAGTATGGGGGCCGTCATTCCCCAACCCTAAACTACCCGTAGGCCCCATGGTAGCCCCTGTTGGGATTACCGTATAGAATTCTAAAAATGAACCCCTAAAAGGAACTACTATGGGGCCTATGGGAAGTTCATGGTCGGGGGGCGGTACTATTTAAGCCGTAAAGGTGTATTCCTTGCCTTGGGGTAGTTTGAACCACATTCTGTATTGGGTTTTAAGTACCCATGAAAATCTCAGATATGTTGCCCAAACACCGATTCCTCCAAAGCCAGAGCCCTCCCTAAACCCTAAACCCCTAAACCCTAAACCCTAAACCCCTAAACCCTAAACCCTAAACCCTAAACCCTAGAAACAGAAGGGCTACATCCCCATGCAAGGCCCACCCGGGTCCCAGAACCTTGAAGCGAGCCCTTGAGGTTTACACTTTGGGGTTTGGGGTTTAGGGGTTTGGGGGTTTAAGGGTTTAGGATTTAGGGGTTTAGGGTTTAGGATTTAGGGTTTTAGGGGTTTAGGGGTTTAGGGCTTCGGGTCTCTTTCTTCTGCCCACCTCTGACATGGAGTAGCGGAGGGTGCGGGAGGCTTGGTCTTGGAACATGTGAGCCTTGGGACATCTTCCAGTCTTTCTGTCCTTTGTCCTTTCGGGGTTTAGCGTTGAGGGTTCAGGGTTGCACTTGGGCTTGTAAGGTCGAAGGTTCTAGGCTGAAGGCTCCAGGCTTCAGGATTGGGGGCGGAGGGCTTTGGGCTGAGGAAAAGGGTTTTCAGGCGTGAGACTCGCTGTTTTGGTGTCGCTTGATGTTGCAGTCACTGTAGCGCATTTCCACAAGAATCCAGAATGAAAGACTCCTGCCACTGCTCCCCCCACCCCCTCGCACAATTCGATCTCCAAAATGTCCTCAGACAATAAGTTGTGTTGAGGTTACGTGTCAAAAAAAATCCACAGCGCCTTTGGAGTACCTAAATTCGGCACGCTAACGAAATAATGTTATGGTTTAGGGTTTAGGGTGTGGGGTTTTCCGTTTAGGGCAGTAATGTTGCATACACCTTTAGTAGTTAGTGCGTGGTTCTGCCTTGTGGCACTCTACTGACTCTACTGGAGGGCCGGAGTCTACAATGTTGACAGCAAAAACTAGCATTATCAACTCTTTCGGCCCCTCTATGCTCCAATGCTGTGCCAATACCACAGCTTTCTCAACAAGCAAAAAGCCCGTACCTACAGACCCCAAATCCACAATCGGTGGCATTGTCCAGGCTAGATGCGGAGCAGGTTTTGCTTAATAAGATCGCCTCGAACCCTGAATTATGAAGCCTAAACCTAAACCGCCTAAACCCAACGCACAGACGTTAATCCGAACTAAAATTGATGGCCTGGACTGCATCAATGATGAGCTGGTGCGTGAGGCCTTCATGCAGATTGAGGGAAGTCGAGGCTTGGGACTAGACTTAGAGGGCTTAGGGAACGATCTTCTTTGGTAGGAATGAGCTGGGTTCTTGTTCAGGTGTGTCATGCCACCATGCCCATGCTAGGAAAACCTTAATTATGTTATGGTGAATGAACTTGAGCTCCCCTACCATGAGCACGCTGACAACCCTGAAAGATTGCAGACTCTGGAAGGATACCAAGTTAATGAAGCAACTAACAACCCTTTAGTCTACCAGAACCTTCATGCTGCAGATTCCCCTAGCTCATGTTCTGCTGAATGCTTGTGCAAGTTAGAGTTCGATGCCACCTAGATCCGAAATCATCGCAACAAACAGCATGCCAGCCAGGTTCAGGATGCATCACCCTGGCATTCGTTACCGAAGCCCTAAACCCTTGAAGGAACCCTCAAGAGAAAGCTGAAACAAAGAAATAATGTAGGGGCCTTAGACTTAGAACAGGGTTCCAGAGCCCAGTTTATTATACTTATAGTACGGAGCCCCAATAAATACTAGAGGTAGTCATTCAAGGAGTCCAAATTTCCCAATCCGGCCCTGCCTTGACGCTCACCCCAGACTTCCATCAAGTTGTCGAGTGAGAACTTCCCATCCTGCATAGCGGTTTAGGGTTCAGGGGTTTAGCTTTTTTTAAAGTTGAACTGCACCCTTTCTCCGAAAAAAGCGCTGGCATTTTGGGTTTAGGGGTTTAGGGGTCTAGGGCTGAGGGATTTAGGGTTTAGGGGTCTAGGGTTGAGGGATTTAGGGTTTAGGGGTCTAGGGTTGAGGGATTTAGGGGTTCGGGGGTTAGGGTTTAGGGGTGTAGGGTTTAGGGATTTAGGGTTTAATTAGGGGTTTAGGGTTTAGGGGTTTAGGGTTTAGGCTTTAGGGGTTCAGGGTTTATAGGGTTTGTTTCGGTCGAGTTTAGGGTAGGGCTCAAGCGAGCTTCCCTAAACCATAGACTTCGGGTTTAGGGTTTCGAGTCCGGATTTACGGCTTTATGAATGCGGTCAAAGCAAGGGAATGCTTGAAGCAAGGTGCCAAAACACAGATAAAAGGTAACTACAGTTTGACCCTGCTGCTGAACTACTGTACTACACCCTATGCTTAGGCGCTGGGCGATTCGAAACTTTGAGCCCGAAGGATTCACCGGGCGTGTCTGGCGTTTCACTCTCCTGACTCCTAACCACCCTAGCATGTTCCTCGGGCTCGACAGCGACATGGGCAATCATGGCCGTCACGACCTTCCTTGAAATTCGTCGCGGGGATCATGTTGGCGAAGGCTTGGCTTGCATTGCGAGGATTTGCGTTTTCGTGTCCCGAGTCTTTCGCCGACCAGCTCTCGGCATGCTTCCACCGCCTTGTACAACCATGCCTCCCTGAGGCTAGCCTTCCTGCGTGTCCAACCTTAGCCTTCCTGCGTGGCACTGGTTCCTCGGGAATTTCCTCTTTCACAGTGGCCACATCAAGGGGGTGCTGAGCCTTGAACCCTCAACCCTAGACCTGTAATCCCCAAACTGAAGCCTCACGCCCCCTGAACCTTAAAGCCTGAACCCCTAGGCGCAGTGCCTGTCCCTAAACCCAATAATCCCTAAACCTGAAGCCCCCCAACCTGAGATGCTAAAGCCACCCGAAAACTAAACCGCTAAAACTCTGAACCCTACACCCCTAAAGCCCTACCCCCTAACCCCTAAACCCCTAAAGACCCTAACCCCTAAACCCTAAACCCCTAAACCCCTAAAGACCCTAACCCCTAAACCCTAAACCCCTAAACCCCTAAAACCCTAAACCCCTACAAACCCTGAAAGCCCCAAATCCCCCGAAACCCCTTAGATCCCTTAAAGGAACCCTTACAGGAATCCTATAGATCTCTATGGTCCCCTAAAAGCCCTGAAAGCCCAAACGAGTCCTCCACTTCCAAGCCCTGGGGTCGGTTCTTCCTTACCAGGGCCGAGAAGGTCTTTAGGGGACTTAGTAGGGGTTCCTTAAAGGGCTCCTTAAAGGGATCTATAGGGGGATTATAAGGGGATCTATAAGGGAGGGGAGGTATGGGACTTAGTAAGTAGGTAGTAAGTAGAGTTATAAGTACCCTAAAAGGGACCCTAATTGGGGTTATGGTACTTATAACTCTCTAAAATAACTACTTAGTAAGTCCCCCGACACTCCAAGTAGGGCTACAGGGTTTAAGGCAGTTTTGGGTTTAGGTTCAGGGGTTAGGAGTTTAGGGGTTTCGGGTCCGGGGTTTCAGAGGGTTCAGGGCTCAGAGGTTTAGGGTTCAAGGGAGGGTTTCGGGGATGTTGCTGGGAGTTCAGAACTTCGAGTTTTTGAGACTGAAAGAAACGAAATCATACAACCAAGAATCCTTAATGATAGAAATCTCTTGTTCCTGGTTGTGCTGTTCCTCTTTTATTAAATTCAAACAGCGAAACAAGCGAAATGAAAAGAAGCGCGTGTTCACTTAATTTAAGTAAAAGAGGCACAACATTTACAACCAAGATACAGCTTATGATTTAGGGCTTTGGGTCGTTCGCTGGTTCGTTTCTCGCTTCTCGCTTATTTCGTGCTTAAACTTCATTCCTTTCGGTAGGGGTCTATAATATAGGGGCCTTTAATAATTAGAATAGGGTTTTGGGGCCCATTGTACCAGAATTATAGTAAGGAGCCCCAAGATAGTATAAGTAATTATTCAAGCCCCTATATTAGAGTGTAGGGTTTGAGGTTGAGGGCTCAGGCTTTGAGGTTTAGGATTTACAACTCAGGGCTTAAGGGTTAGTGTTCAGGGTCTAAGGTTTAGGGGTTTAGGGTTTAGGGTTTAGGGGTTAGGGTTTAGGGTTAAAGTTTAGGGTTGAAGGTTCAGGGCCCAGGGATGATTGGACGTTGCATGTTCTTTTGCTCAAGGAGTTGGATGTTTCTCAACCCCCAAACCCCAAACCCATAACCCCGGAATCCCAAACCCATGAAGTGCTGGTGGCAAGTATCTCGTACCGGACCATGCCACAAAGAGCCTGGGCGTCGTGGGTGCAGCTGAAGCTGGGCACTTCGGGGTTTAAGGTTCAGGGCTTAGGGTTTACCTTGACCCTATAAAACCTTCCTTTCTCAGGTTCCCTATCATGATTTTCTTATACAAGTCCTTAAAAAGGTAGGTTATTTGGGGTTAGGGTAGGGTTTAGGCATTAGGGCTTAAGGGTTATTGGGTTGATTTGGATTTCCGGGTTTTGTCTCTAAGGCTTCGCATCTGCAGCGCAAGCAGAGATGTGCGAACTCCGCTTCGTGTGTAGAAGCCACGAACCCTTTGACACCCAACTCTGGACTCTGAAACCATGAGCCCTAGTAATATCAAAGCTCCCATACCCTTATCAGTGGGCTCTCCGGGTACATCCCTGAATCCAGCCGCGTTTCTTTGGCCGCATAGGGTGTCTGTGTTTAGGGTTTAGGGCTTCAGGCGGGGTTTAGCAGTTATAGATGGAGTTAGGGCATAACCAAAAGACCCGCAACAAGCATACCCACGAGCCACGAAGCACCCTCAGACTACATGTGCTCATAGGGTCCAAATCCTAAACCCAAAAAGACCCGCACAAGCCAAACACTCAACCCGAAATCCAAAACCCCACAAGCCACACCCTAATGTCTAAATCCTAAACCCGAAATTCCAAACCCCAAACCCCCACAAGCCAAACCCGGAAGTTCAAACGCAAAATCCGAAACTTTAGGCCAACGTCCCAAACGTTAGCGGGACGATTGCGCACCCCTTACTGACTGGCTTGTATTGATTTGCACCACAATTTCCAAACTGTGATATAATGCCTGCCCTAAACCCTAAACCCTAAACCCTTAACCTGGTCCGGCAAGCTTAAACTCCTCAAGTCCCCAATCCTGACTCAGAGGAACATGGGACTAAGTCAGTCGGATAGAGCTGGAGTTGGAAGTTGGAAGTCAGTTATGTAGTGTACTTATAACTCCACTTCTAACTTACTTTCGACACCCGCTGATCCCCTGAACCTTAAACCTCAAGGTAAATCCCACACCCCACCCCTGACTTACTAAACCTACAAGTGTACACAACCCTCACAGGAGGTTCCGAAAATAGGAAACCCTAATATAGTACCCTAAAAAAATAGGATCCTTATTATAAAGACCCCAAGATAAGGTACCGGTAATTTTCGGAAACTCCCTCGTGAAGTTGCTGGAAGAATCCTGCCAGGTCGCTACTTACTCTCTCCCCAAATCCTTTGAATACCCTGAAACCAAGCCGACTCTCTAAACCCCAAACCCCTAATTTCCAAACCCTCAACCTCCAAATCCCAAACCCCAAACCAGTAAATCCCAAACCCTAAACAGCTGCGTCTCTCTGGCAAGGCACGGAAGAAATTCGCCGGGTGTTTAAGCCGGCGACGGGCGACCTGGATCTGCCGCGGTCCTGAAGGCAAGGCTTGGGGTTTAGGATTTAGGATATATGGGTTTAGGGTTAGGGTTTAGGGTTAGGGTTTAGGGGTTTAGAGTTTAGAGTTTAGGGTTCGGGGTTTAGGGGTCAGGGTTTAGGGTTCAGGGTTTAGGATTTATCGCATGGTCTGGCTTGGTTTGTGTTGGTGTTCTTCAGTATTTCTACACTATATGACTGTAGCAGATTGATCTCGAAGTGACCGTATTCTTACAGCGTATTTACAGCATACAGCGGTATTAATGTATATTATATGGATATAACGGAATGCTTCTAGCGTACTCTAGTAGACTGTCGAATATACAACTGTATGGGGACTACACGGAGTTTAAGAATGCAGCTGTCCTAACATTCGGGATGTTGCGCTTATCGGGTTGAGTGTTGGGGCCCAAGGTCTGTAGGGCTTATGGGTTTCGGGTTCAAACTAGTTTTTGCTGTGGCGAGAGGGAGGGTGGGGGTGTTAAGCTGCTGTCCGGCACGATAGGTCTGAAAGTCTCAGGCAGGAGTTCTAAGTTTTTGGGACGGTCTTGGGTGGCTGTCCAAATTCTGGTCCCTTTTTAAGTACCCTAAATAATAGGTGCCGTGCTATACTAGGGACCCAAAAAGGCACCATAATTTTGACAACCGCCCTCTTGGGGCTTGAAGGGTTGATAATCTACGACTTTGGTGACCATAGGACTTGCCTCTTCCGCTAGAGCTCCTGCAGTACTCGAATCGCAAGGCTTTGAGGACGCAGGCCTTGCTTAAAGGATCATGGGACATAGCCACTGGCTATAGAAAGGTTAGCTAGAGTTATGAATAGCTTTATAGCCCTAAACAAGATACTTATCTCTTTACTTACGAAAGTCCCATGATCCCCCAAGTAAGGCTTGACGAAAGTGTCTAAGCCAAGCTGTATCCGCAAGCTCTGCCACCCTACGGCTTCGTGGGGAGATGATGCAAGTGATGTCTCCGTGACAAAGCGCCATAGCATCTGAGGCCCCAGTAGAACCACAATAAGTAAGGCTCTAAACACAAACAGTAGCTTCCCTGGCGGCTGCTTAACCTTAAACCCCACCGCGTGTCCTGGCGTGGCATGGCTTCCGAAGCGCCGTGCGGCAAGGAGGCAAAGATGGCAGCAATGAATCAAGGATCTTGGGCAACTTCTCAGAGAAGCCCTAACTAGATAATTTTCCTTCCAACGCAGTCAGATCCTGAGCAGACTTTTGCCATCCTCAAGACTTATCCAATGAAAGTCTTTGAGCCCAAATCACTCCCGAATCCTATGGAGCACTGTTTTGCGAGCCAGAAAGCGTCCAGCAACGTCAAAGCTTATGATTGCGGTTTGTTGGCGTTGGGGTCGAGGTGTTATGGACTTGAGGGTTTGGGCAGGGATTTCTGAAGAGTGAAAGCTCCGAGTTTGCTGAGGATGCCGATTCCCTATAGCAATACCTTGGGACGTGCTTCTGTTGGGGGCCTCCAAAATTTTGGCTTTTTTTGGGAGGCGAGGGTATACGTAGTGTATGGCAATTATACCAAGGACCCCTAATGCTTCAGGGAAGCAGCACAAATAACTCATCCTTCTATATTCTGCTTCTCTTGGTTCAGGCATGACGGTACGTACCCACAGAGCTTGACAGCGACCATGTCCCCTAACCACCAACACCCTGAACCCTAAGCCCTAAGCCCGGAAACCTGAATCCCACACCCTAAACCCTAAACCTTATAGCCGCTGAGGGCCAACCCGAACCTCCCTAGCACCTAAGACGGGTTATGATACGGAGCCGAGTATTCTAGATCATGGACTAGAGTTTGAGAGTATAATATCGGAAACCAGTATGACAAGAACAAGGAACCCTGAAGTGGGGCCTGAATGAATGCACCGATTAGGGTCTGGAAAGGGAATTATGCTATGGTAGAACAGAGTTATGATAAGGAACCGTAACAAGACTGCCATATCCATCAAGTAAATGCAAAAAAAAGGATCCCGAATGCAGGGCCCCTTAACTAAGCCTTTTTGGAGTGTCTGAGCGAAGGCCTTGCATTTCTATGACACAAGCCATGTTTCCTTCTGACTTGTGCGCTGAACTATGAAGTATACAGCCAAGGAGGGCAATTTCTGACGAATGTAGCGAAACAGTTACCCTAAACCCTAAACCCTAAATCCTAAACCCTAAACCCTAAACCGTTAAACCCTAAACCCTAAACCCTAAATCCTAAACCCTAAACCCTAAACCGTTAAACCCTAAACCCTAAACCGTTAAACACAACCCGACGATCTCAGCATTTTGCCTCAGAGCTCTAGACAACTTAGAATCAGCTCGGACCTCCCGGATGACCAGCGCCCACGCTCGCCAGGCCGGGAATCCTACGCCCTATGCCTGAACCCTGAACCCTGAACCCCAAACCCTAGACCCACAAAGTGAGCCCGTGACCCTGAAGCCTACTGCCATCTGCCTTCAAATTCAAGGCTACACCCAAGCTATAAGCCTACCAAGCCCTACTTTTTTGGTAGGGTCCCGATAAACTCCAGTTTAGGGCTCATAAGAAGAACCCACAAAAAGTAGGTTTTGGAAGGTTAAGGTAAACCCTAAACCCGAAAAAACCCTGCAACAGTGCAGCCCTTCCTAGATTCTCTTGGGCTGCTTGGAGGGTCGGGGGACTTAGTAAGCAGGTAATAAGTAGAGTTATAAGTACCCTAAAAGGGACCCTAATTGGGGTTATAGTACTTATAACTCTACAAAATAGCTACTTAATAAGTCCCTCGACCCTCCAAGTGAGGACCCTAAGCCAAAACAGGTTAACCTTTTCCATTCTGGTAGGATTGTATGAGCCCCACAAGGTTAAAGGCTACCTACTTAGCTACTAAGGAAAAGCTCGTCGTCAAGCACATGGGAATTAGAAGGTCCGGAGGAAGAAACTTAATTAATCTGTTTACAGTTTGGGGCGTAGAAACTAGATGCAATACTGAATGTGCTTTTGCCGAATCCTGAACCACTTCATGTTGTTGTGGGTAGCATGATGAGGGAGACCCCTTAAGGGTACCCCTTCTGAACCCAGAACTTCTGGCTCTCTTAAAAGGGACCTTATTGAGAGGGTCTATATCCCCGAGGGTCCTCCAATCCTAACTCCCATGTTGGTCCCTAGCATCGCGACTTTTCTCCAAGAAATCATTGTGCACTGTGTCTGGCACCATTTCGAACATCGCGCCGCTTCCCCAGCTAGGAGCACTGTAGGCGGAGGCAGGCAGGCCGCAGCGGCAAAGTAGTAATCTTGAATTTCAGTCCCCCCAAACGTACCCAAAACGCAAAGCCTGCAATCCTGAAATAACTGGAAGTGCCAAAACCGTATCCTGCCGTCAGTCCTGCTGGACAAGAGGTCACGGTCCTCAGCAAAGCTCCCGTGGAAGACCTTATGGTTGCCTGCTGAGAGCATACAGATCTACCACTCTGCGCCCCCAACTCGCACTGCCTTTTTTATTGGAATAGGGTTTTGGGGCTCATTGTATACGATAATTTGAATAAGCAACCCCCAAAATAGTATTGGCAATCATTCAGGCCCATATATTACCTTCAGAGTGAAGGCAGCCCTAGGCTCCGAAACTCGATGTCGGCATGCTAAGCTGGGACGCCACTCATAGCACTTCACACCGCCATGGAAGAGGGTGAAGCACGAAGCGTCTGGGAAAGCGAACTACTCCCCAGGTACCTTCTGGAAAAAGCTTTGCCCGCACATGTCGGCATCTTGCTCACTTGTTCCCACCTCAGGTTGCGAGTCTGATGGGAAGCCAAAACGGGGGGTTTAAGATTCTTGGGGCAGGGATTCCTTAATATGAACCCTATTATAGGAACCTTGATCCGTACTAAACCCCCATAGGCTAAAACCCCATTTGGCCTCCTATGAGCCTTGCCCGCACATGTCGGCATCTTGTTCACTTGTTCCCACCTCAGGTTCCCAAAGGGTCCAAAGTACCTTTACAGTAGAATGTCGGGTTTCTATATTAGGAATTACTATTACGATTGCGGCCTAATTAAGGCTGCAACAGAGCTGCAACGATGAAACCTGCAAGGAGACAGTATCAGAGACTACATGGGAGTTTCCGAAAAATGGAGAGCCTAAAATGGTACCCCCTAGATCCTTCTATTTTAAGGACCCCCAAAATAAGGTACCCCTAATTTCGGAAACTCACTTCTTGGAACGAATGTCTCAGACCACTACTTCAAGCGGCGCCGCTAAACCCTAAACCCTAAACCCTAAACCCTAAACCCTAAACCCTAAACCCTAAACCCTAAACCCTAAACCCTAAACCCTCATCGGCAGCAAGCCCCAAGCCATGAATCCCAAACAAACAGGAACCTTGCACCCTATACGGTGAGACCACAACCGTAAATCTTAAACCTGAGGCCCTATGAATCCTAAACTCCATAATATATAAGGGCCTTATATAATTAGAATAGGGTTTTGGGGCCCGTTATGCCACAAAAATATGAAGAAAGAACCCCCAACATAGTATCGGTAATTCTGTAGAGTAGGCCCCTGTATTCCTATAAACCTTCGTTCTAGCTTGTAAAGTTCAGACCACATCCGACACCTCTACTTACTCCCCCAATAAGCCACAGAAATGAAAGGCTAAGCTTTCCTATTCCTACTCAACTATAAAAACCCAAAAAGTTGAAAGGTCGGGTATTGGGGATCTACGTCTAACTGCGTCAGGCCTGTTTGCCAACCGCACCACGGCCCCCGGAGTCTAAGGCGGGCACGCATGGAACTGATCTGGTCCTCTGTCCAGACGCATGCGCAGTTTCTCTCGTACACTCAGACCACCGAATTTCCTATGCTGCGGGGGCCTGTCTTGTAATTGTTCGGAGTGTCTGAGGGCTGGACACTTAATTCAGACCTCCAAGTACGATTCTAGGGGCGGTTTATAATTAATTAGAAAAGGGTTTTGGGGTGTGTCAGAGTCTAGTTTTTCTCAGGAGCCCTCAGGAAGACTGTTGGCAGCTATTCAGGCCTCTACATTAGCATCTCTCATCCCTCATTTTTGCTTATACTACTCAAATCGTATAGTAAGTGGCAATATAAATACATTCCCAGAAATAGAATTACAGCAAGATAAAGACTGTAGTGACTATAGTTGGCATTTTCATGAACCACTCCAGACTTGTGGGCCCACTGGACTCGATGTCACCTTCACCAAAAAGAAGCTGTCAGGTAGAAATGCCTAGTGAGGGTATTGCCCCCATACAGTAACAGTCTATAATAGGGCTACTATTTATTAAGGTCCTAATATACCTATATTTTGAAGATCAGTCAACTGTTACTGAGAGGGGGCAGTGCCCAATGCCTAGCACGTTCTCGTAGAGGCTGGATATCCTACCCCAAACAAGGTTGATCTTTTCAGGTATGGTAGAGTTATATAAGACCCCAAAAGGGTAAAGCCTACCTACTCAGCTACTGAGTTCTGCTTCTGGTAGCTGTTGGAACAATATGGCTATCCTGCGAGACATTTCACTTAGATGGTTTGGGTGTCAGGGCTTGAAGGCTCAAGGTCAGTTTGGGTGACTCTATGCAAGGGCCCCAAAGCGATTCACTCGCATACATCCCACCCCATGACCCCAAAGACCCCGAATCTACATATGTAAGGACCGCAAGCATTGGATAACAATCATGACACACACACCCCTGTAAAAGCCCCTTTGAACACACTGAAAAATGCAAACACCGAATACAAAAAACTCCCCAACCACAACATGCACCAGCTCTCCTGCACTTTCTCCAGGTAAGGCCTGTTCGGGTTTAGGGTAAAGGTTTTGGGGTTAAGCTTCCAGAGTTTCGGATTTGTTTAGGGGTGGCTCAAAGGGAGCAGCTAGGGGCTTGTCTACGGAGAACAGGGTTTGCTCAAAGATCGTTTTACCTTTGGTTAGTAGGGAATGGAAGAATGGGGTACAATTATGATTCTATTACTACCCTTCTTCCATTCCCTTCTAACCAAAGGTAAGCATAACTATACTGAACTTAGAACCCTGGCAAAAAATGTAGTTTTAGCTGTTTCTTCGGGATTATAATAACCAAAAGTTAAAAGTTACTTCTAAGTACCC